TTCCCCTCCAGAGCCAGGAAGCAGTGCTGGATGTGAGGACCAGAGCTTCTCCAGGAGAACCAACGGCTCAAACAGCAATTCGCAGAAGAACCCACAATGCCTCAATGCAACAAAGCATTAACGCCTCAACACCCCCTTCTCCTTCATCTATTTATGCTGGCAACTTTCCTCAGGTGGGACATCTTCGCTCAGTGCCATGCTGATGTAATCCAGTTGGTGTTAAATTGACCACCAGTTCTTAATCCATAACAAATATCGTATCTCCATGTTGTTTTAATTTGCATTTTTAAAATGTATGAACAATGCTGAACATGGTTTTTTGGGTTTTTTTGTTTTTTTTTTTTGTCTTTTTCTTTTTTATCAGTACTGGGGATCGAACTTATGACTGCCTGCTTGCAAGACAGGTACTTATGCCGCTGAGCTAATGCGGTTAATAGCAATTTGTGTTTATTTTTCTGTGAAATGTCTATTTATATCTCTAGCCCAGTTTTCTCTAAAGTTGTTATAGTCTTTCTCCCTCTCTATATCTGTATCTCTTTATCTTTTTTGAGAGGGTCTCACTTTGTCAATAAATGGGCAAAGGAACTGAGCAGACATATCTCAAAAGTACAAATGAATAATAAGTATATGAAAAAGAGTTCACTATCTTTAGTAACTAGGAAAATGCAAATCAAAACTACTCAATCCTGTCACAATGGCTATACAAAAAACACTGCTGGTGGCAATGTAAATCAGTTTGACCACTAGGGAAATCAGTAGAGAGCATCCCCAAAAAAACAAAAATAGAGCTATCATTCAATTCATCTACAGTATTTTTTGGTGTATACCCAAAGAGTTAAAGTCAGCACACTGAGGTCGGTATACCTATGCTTACTGTGCGTAGTTATTCATCAACAGGTGAATGGATAAACAAAATGTAGTATACATATACAACAGAGCATTGTTCAGCATAAGGAAGAACAAAATGAAGAAACTGAAGATTATGTTAAGCACAGGAGGCCAGATTCAGCAAGATAAGCAGTGGATGTTCTCCCTAGTACAGTATGTGCAATCTAAAATGATAACATAAAATTAGGCGGGAACACACATGGAAATCCATTATTTTGTAAAATTAATAAGCACTAATAATAAAGGAAAATGTAAAAAAGATAAGTGTTTCACCTAATTTTAAACATTATATGATATAGGAGGTGTGATTAAAGTGTGGTGAATGTTAAATATTTTTAAATTGTTACAGTGGAAGACACATTACCATTAATCCCTTTCAAATACCTTTTCTCACTTTGAACACACTTGTTTCATCATTCTTGCCACTTTCTAAGCAGTTCTGGAGGTCTTTCCTGAGTGCCTTTAGTTGTGCTGTCGTGGCTGAATTTGAAACATTACCTTTCATGACCATTTGGCTTTGGGGAAAGAGCCAGAAGTTGCGAGGTGTCTAATCTGGTGAATAAGGTGGAGGATAGCACACGGCAAGCTTTTATTTGACCTAAATTATCATAAACATTTAACCAATTCACGGTATTGAAGCAGACATGAAAAAACACTTATGACAGAGGACTCCCAGAACTGCTTCCCAAAGTGGCAAGAAAGCTGGGATAAACGTATTAAACAAGAGGGGGAGGGAGTATTTTGGATTCATGGAAATGTGTCTTGTAGTGAAATAAATTTTTAAATGAAAACATTCACCATACACTTTGACCACACATCATATACGCGTATCAAAATATCACATGGTACACTGTTATTATGTACAATTTTTATTTTTTACGTATGGCTTAAAAATGAATTTAACAAACTTTTTTTTAAAAAGTAGGGGGGATTATAATTAGATAAGAGGGAAGGACTAGGGGAATAGAGACATCATAGGGTAGGAATATCACCAAAATAGACACATTGAAATCCAATATTTGTAAAATTAATAGATGCTAATAAAAAAAGCATTGAAAAAAAAGCAGTATTCTTTGAGGCACATGAGGGCTGGAGGGAGCTGTAACCGCAACCTCCATTAGAGGGAGCCTTAGTCTCAGGAAAGGAAATGAGCTTAGTGATTTATAGAGAAGTTTTGTGTTTGCAGTCATGCATCTCTTCCAGGGTTACTATGTACAGCACTGTGATTTCACATCCAGTAAGGAGATCTACAACAGCCACGGGTATGAATAGTTGTGCCAGTAGCTTGGTTGGATGAGATTCTATCACCCCTCCCCCATAATCAGTCCCCAACTCACCACTGATCTTTGCTCCCCATCTCCAGGTACTGAGCAGAGTATCTTGGAGCTACTGGAAAGAAACCTGGGAAGCTGATGGCTTTCCTGCAGGCAGTGACGCAGCAGGTCAGACTATGTAATAGGTGCTTGCATCTTTACTAATCAGTTCTCATCATTATTCTGGTTTTAAAACTTTGCCACAAGAAGAAAAACACATTAAAAGTTGAGTTAAATTTTTGGCTAAACTTATACATTAGAAACTACTAACTATGGTACTTTATCTAACAATACAAAATTTTGAGGAATTTACAAAAGTTTTTTAGATAAGCTACCATAGTTACCGTTTTTAATATCTGGGAAGTGGTGTGGGATGACAGCAGACACTTTGGAGCATTAGTCAGCCTGGCAAGGCTTCAAGATCTGCCAGAAAAACCTCTGCAGAAGGCAGTTTGGAAACCTCCATCATTATATCCCCACTTCACAATTTCATTTAATTCCTTGTGTTTGTTGTTGTTGTTTGTTTTTTGAGATAGGGTCTCACCAAGTAGTCCAGGCTGGCCTCAAACTCTCGGTGATCCACCTGCCTCAGCCTCCCAAGTACTGGGATTATAGGTGTGCATATTATGCCCCGCTCCAGCATCACTGTTATTTTAACAACACCTAATTCAGAATAAGAGCAGCAGAGGCTATGATCACCCCCTGCTTAAGCTGACAGAATTTTTTTAAGTATATGTGCTGCCGAAGCGAGCATACCAGAATTTGTGTTCTTTCCATTCTCTCCTATTAGTCAGAATCTCTAGGGACAACCCAAATTACCAGTTCAGTAGTGTTCAACTTGGGAGCAAATCATCTTGGCTGGCTTGCAGAATAATAAAAATGATTGCAGTAAAAAAGAGATGATCAAGGAGACAAAAAGCGAGCCCACTTGCTATATACTACTATACTTGCTACTTTTGGAATAGGTTACCATAGCTTTATAATAGCCCCCCTTGAGGGAGGTTTTGCTCACCAGATAGTCTAAATGCTAAAATTATTGAACACTCACAATACATTAGGCATCATAGCTGGGGATTTAGCTCAGTGGCATAAGCAAGCCTACCCGGCAATTGTGAGGTTGTGGGTTTGATCCCCGGTACAATATATATATGCACCATACTAGGTGTGTTGTGTATATTTAATGCACAGAAAGAAGATTATCCCCCTGATTGACATGCCTTGAAATTTTGTTGTAGTTTTTTTCTATTTATCTTTGAATAAAATGGATTTAAAAAAAGATTATTCTCATTTTAGATATAAGATCCTAGAGAGATTAACCTGTTCAAGATCTCCATTTAAGACTGAGCTAGAATTCCCAGGCAATTTGAGTCCAGGACTTGTGCTGAGACTGTCACTCAGGCCCAGCTGGTACATGGCCCACAGAACAGAAGTAAACCTGCACTTCCATGAGGCTAATCGCAAACTACACAAAACATTTCCTTGGGCCCTACTTTTGGGCATCAGAAGTTAAGTACGTGATGGAAGTATGTCAAGGTGTATTTTGGGGATGGGACTTGACGAGCCCTTCTAACTTTGGAAGAGTTAAACCTGATCCTAGTCACCTGAAACCAATCACTTCATTTGAAGAAAGGCTAAAATTGAATACATTTTCTGCTGTTTTAGATCTAAAATGGCCCCACGGTTACATGGTGTAAAAGGTGGTTGGATCATGGGGGTGCTAAGTACGCTGCTCCTATAGGTGAGGTCTGCTTGCAAGTGGTGGGACCCAGAAGGTTGTGTGTATGCCCCTGGCTCCTCTCTTTCCTCTCAGATTCCTGGCTGCCATATGGGGAACAGCTTTCCTTGCCACATGGTTCTGCAGTGCCCCTTCTGCCTTGGAGCCAGCCAGCTGCAGACTGAAAACACTGAAACTCTGAGCCAAAATAAACCTCTTTAAGTTATAGGTGTCAAGTATTTTGTCACAGCTACAGGAAAATGACTTTTATTAGGTAAAGCCAGGTGTGATGGTGCACACCTCCCATCCCGGCTCTCTCCTGGTCTCAGTTATCTCTTTGCACAACTTCTTTATTTTTTGTGGTTCTGCAGACTGAATCCAAGGTCTTCATGTTGAGTTATATCTCCAGTTCATCCCTCCATCCTTCCTTCCTCCCTTCCTTGTTTTCCCCCTTCCTTTCTCCCTCCTCCCCTTTCTTTTTTCTTCTAATCTTTTGTGTTTTAAACTCATGACTTCACAGTTGCCAGGAGGCCCTGTGCCACTGAGCCATATCCCCAGCCCTCATCTTTCTAATCTTGACACAGAGTTACACTAAATTGCCCAAGATGGGATTAAATTTGTGATCCTCCTGCCTCAGCTTCCCAGAGAGCTAGAATTATAGGGGACACCACCAACCCAGATAGTCTTATTTCTTAGTGTCTTCATTTTGGCACCTTACAATACAGACAATTGACAAAGCAGTTCCACTTCACTAATTCTCCTATTAGCTCAGAGGGTAGGCATTATAACACCAACTGAGAGGAATCACAGAGGTTGCCTAGTCCCCCTGATACTAAGCTTGTGTCCTGGCACATCCATGTGACTCTCAAACCTGATGCTTTCTAGTTTCTCTCACCAGCCCCATCCTGTCTCCCTGTGCCAGCTCCTCTTTCCGCACCACCAGCCAACACTAAGACCTGTGTTCCTAGGCCTGTAATGGAGGAGACAGGAAGCATTTAGGACCAAGGATATATTTTTCCTTCTGGGAACAAATCAAATGAGTCACTTTTTAGATGTTGTTTGATACTCCAAGAAAATAAAACATTGAGACCTATAAACAGTATCTTACCAGTTATATAAGCTGTCTGTTCTCTGGAGCATAATGCTCAACACCTAAATTTAAATGGTGAAGAGTTAATTTAGCTCATGTTTTGGGGGATTTGGCCCATGGGCAGCTGACTTCAAGGCAGAAACATCACGCAGAAAGCATGGTAGAGCTCAGCTCTTGAAGCAGAGCAAGGCAACAGTGCTGGAGAGGCAGATAAGGGACAAGACCTAGATGATCCCTCCCATGCTGGCCTCTGTGACACACAGAAACACCCAGAAGTGTGCACCACCAGTTCCCCTAAGGGGGATCCCAAAGCCAATCAAATTGACACCCTCCCCTAAGTGCCACACCATTGTTACATTGCTATGACATTGTCTAGAAACTTTACTCACTTCATCTCATTTACCCTGTAAAGCCAGGCTATTAATTTCCACAACACGAATGAGCCAGACAATGAAGTGAAGACAATTAAGTGAAACCAGCAGTAGCTCAAGGCCTTACAGCTTCTTCGTTCTTGTGCTGAACAAACAAGTCCCGTTTCTAGCTCTCCAGTCTGTGGTTCATCAGGACACACCGCCCAATGACAGTGGTCCTTGGGATTCCAGGGTTTGTTAATGTGGTTAAAGTGCTAGTCAAGCACAAATTGGGAATTTAAAGGAAAACTAAGTTATGCTACGAAAGAGGGAGACAGAGGGTGAGAGAGAGAGAGAAGGCTGTTACTCAGCTGATTTTCTAATGTTTACTCAACCCTACACATCTCTAAAATGAAGCCTGACTTTCATAAAGTATGGAAACAGTGTGAACCAAGGAAAAAACAAAGCAAACTGCTGATTGGGAGGGAGTCCCAGATATCTGCCTTCTGCTGTTGCCTGGCAACGAGTGTAAACAGCACAGGATCATGGCCACTAACTACAGTGCCAACCAGGTAAGTGCTTTCTCTTCTTTACCATATTCCTTTACATTTAATCTTGCCTTCTAGATGCTGCTGTCTTTGGACTGTGATCATCGAAGAGATGTTAAGAGTGCTGGGAGACAGTGTAAAGTTGGGAGGCCCCTGAGATAAGCAAAAGGGATCTCTGGGTCACATTTGTAGACTGCAAACTAGAGGTCAGCAATTGTTTTCTGTAACTGGCTAGAGAATACACATTTTATAGGCTTTGCACATCAACAAGCAAAGTCAAAGATACTCTATAGATACTAACATGAGAAAAAATATTTTTCTATAAAACTCTGTCAAATTCCAAATATAATTACTGAGTACAATGTTTTTTGTAATACTAAGAAAAATAGAACTCTTTAGGATGAGAAGCTATTTTTGTTTTGTTTTTTTGTCTTTTTATCGGTACCAGGGTCGAACTCACGACTGCCTGCTTGCAAGGCAGGCACTTATGCCGCTGAGCTAAATCCCCAGCCCCCAACATTTCAACTTTTAAACAGCAATTTTTACTTGACACTCCTTATTATTTTTTTTTTTTAACTGGGGATCAAACTCACAACCTTGCACTTGCCAGGCAGCACTATATCCCTGGCCATACATGATAATCTCATATTTTACATTTTCTTTTTTATTCTAAGTCTTTAAAATCCAGTGTATTTTATATCTATCAAGCCCCTCAATTTGGGCTAGGCACGTTTCAACTGCTCAGAAGTTACATGTAGCTATGGCTGTTTGTGGAACAGCATACGCCTGAACCAGATTGCACCCCTGGTACACTAAATTAGTATCTACATGTTTCAGGCCATTGTTTTTCAAATCTAAGAAACCATGCCTCATCATTTCCTGAACTAGGGCCTTTGGGCCTCACAGGTCTCCTCATCTTTGTCTTCACAGTATGAAAAAGCTTTCTCACCCACCTATCTGCAGAATTGGTCTCTTGCCAAGCCGACAAAACAGGTACTCCAAGTTCAGCACTCCTACAAGGGCAGTTTATGGTTCTTTTTTTTTTTTTTTTTTTGTTTGGTCTTTTTCGTTTTTATCGGTACCAGGGATCGAACTCACAACTGCTTGCTTGCAAGGCAGGCGCTTATGCCGCTGAGCTAAATCCCCAGCCCCTAGTTTATGGTTCTTTACATCGTTAATTTCTTGCCACCAGACTTCTGAGCCTTCTCTAAGTGTCCTCCTCTCCTCCCCCTAACCTTTACTCCAGCCCTTCAGATAGGTCCTCCCTCTTTGTTGCTGCTGTTGCTTTCCTCCTTTCACTCACAGGCACACTTCTCCCCTACTTCCACCCCAGAGCATCTCTTCCCATGAAGGCTACACTCAGATTATTGCCAATGATCGTGGTCATCTGTTGCCTTCTGTGCCCCGTTCCAAGGTAAGATACCTGTCTCTATTCCTATCAACAAGAATAAAGAATTGAGGCACTAACCTAGAAAATTAAAGTGCAATCTAAATCACATGGACAGGTGAATTCTCCAAGTTTCAAACAGTTTATCCAACAGGGCAGATTTGTGCTTCACACACACAAGTCCTTAAGTGGATAAATGATCTGAGGAAATCAATGTCTTCAGGTGACGATGTCTCTTTTGCCACAATTGGCCTTAAGATGTAAAGTTTAAACTGGTTGAGCGAAGGGTATAAAAGATTAGGGTAACCTAAATGAGGGACAGGAGAGAGTGGGGGAGATTATGCTTTCAGCTTGTTTCATTACCATGCATTCCCAAAGGTTTAAGAATGGCAGTTAAGACCAAGAAAGATCCTAGGAACAGGAGGACTGTTAGGACAGTGAGAAATCCCTGAGTCCCTTTTCCTTTCAGGCAAGTCCCTGGGGTTCCTTCATGGGCACCTGGCAAATGCCTCTGAAGATACCCCCTGCTCGGGTGACAATGACTGCCCGGACAACTGCTGATGCTGCCTCGCTCACCAAATGGATACAGAAAAATCCTGACTTTCTCAAGGCCTCTAATGGGCCGTGCCCTGCAATCTTAGGCAAGGTATCTATTCTCATCTAACCTTAAACCCTACTGTCTCTACTTGCTTTCAAACTAGAAAAAAAAAAAAAAAAAAAAAAAAAAAGAACATGCAGTGTTTTGCCACCTCTCCCCCCTGCAAGGGAAGCTCTGACTAAATTCGTTTTATCCTATCTAACCTCTGATGATTTTCTAAGGTCTTAAGGGATGAGTGAACTGAGGACATTTTACTTCCCCCTCCTCCCATCTCAGAAAATAATCTAATCTCAAGGGAAGACTAGGAAAATCCAATTTAACTATTTTTATTTGCAAACTGTCCTTTTTGCTCCTGGTAAGCAAAGATGGAGTTAGAATTATGTGGTGGACTGGGGATCATTTGGACCTGGCTAGAAACATGTCTCTTCTACTCTATCCTGACAGCCCCATGATGCAGACTGTCAGAAGATACTCGGGAAGAAGTCTGCCACAAAAATGGTACAACAAGCACCATGTCCAACCATAATTCCAAGCTCTCCAAATACTAGTCTTGATTCCCTAGATGAATCTCGAAGTTCACACCCCTCTGCAGGTCACACTCCAGGTCCCCAAACCCCACTCAACTCTCCTGAAAGCCCACCGGGAAGCCCTGTATGTCTGAAAGCAGGTCCTAATCTTGCTGAAATCCAGAACTGCAAACCTGGAACTTCTGAGGGGATCAAGGGGTCACACTGAGAAAAATCTGTCCAAGCCTTGATCTGAAGTGAATGCCATCCCCTGGTCAGAAATGTGGAAAAGAGAAATTGTGGGGTAGGAGTAAAGGCAAATTTGGACAATAAATACCATTTGTTGACTGACTTGATCTGGATTTTCTTCTCTCAACTCAACTGAAGAGGTTTGGGGGAAAAAGAGCAGGGAAAAGAACACTTCAGTGATTGGGGGTTAACACATTTGGATTGAGTCAGTTATACTCCAGAAATGACCCAGAGAAAATTGATCCTATCACAGTGAAAGGGCAGAACCTTAAAGAATTAGCCCTTTTTCTTATCCCTTCATTTTTCATCTTGAGTATGCGTAGCTAACAATTTCAAAATTAAAACTGTATAGAAGAAGTGTGTGTTTGGAGATAGTGGAAGGGAGGCAGGAGCTGGGGATGGAGCTCCATGATAGAGTACCTGTCTAGAATGTGTCCTGGGTTCACACATACACACATGGCAGAAGATGCCATCCTGCCTAAGACTTTATATCAAAAGTATATATACTTGGAAATCTGAAGATACGGAAGTGAACAGAAGACACAGAAGAAAAATAAAGTGATGGTAAGTAGAAACTTAGGACAGAAAAACTGCACTGCTACCTACTTGCTTTCTCTTCCAGCTGTGGAATGGTAAAAAGCTATCAAAAAACAAAAAAGTCACGATGTCCCCTATTTTCCAGTTCCCAAAATATGTTTATCATTGACCCCATTCTGCATTTTCCTGGCAGTGTTAAATATAATGCCCCTGCCAAGCATTTTCCTAATTCTAATGCCAAAGAGTTGCCTTGTGAACATCTGTCCTTCCCTCAAAGGACAAAGTAGAGGAGAGCCGGTTAAGCTGCAGGAAGAGTACAAGACGTCCAAGGACGCGCCTAGCAAAAAGGGCAGACTATGTAGCACAGCCTGCCGCGGCAGCAGATCCCACCATCTTAGGCAAGGACTTCTTGCCCACCTGACATAGGCTAATGCCACAGCCATTCCTCTCCAAACTGCAGTGAACTAGTTGGCCAACAACTCATAAGGGCAGGAAGATGGATTTCTTACTCCAGAGTTTGCAAAGATTATCAAGACAGAGCTCCTGCCAAGGGATTTAGGGACCCAAAAGCCCGATCTATATGGATTATAAAGGCAGCAAGTTTTCTTCCCATAAAAGCAGCAAGTTTTTTTCCCATCATCTTGCCTTTTCTGAGGATCCTCTATATTTAAATCTCTGGCTACTTGTATTTGATCTTCTGAAAATTTTTCCAGTGGGTCGGTCAGCTGTAGGACAAACTGTTTCCCTGCTAGGAAAGGTCACAGGGTTGGGGTGGAGGTTAGCACCTTTACCATCTCTTGATTTTTCTAGATTTAAGGAGAGTCAAAGATAAAAGGAGTATTTTAATTATTTCAGAAAAGATGGTACATCAACTTGGATTAGAAAACATGACATTTAAAGGGTTTTTTTTTTTCCATAAATGCAAAAACAAAACAAAATGAAAACCAACCAGAGATTTAAAAAAAACCTTAAAATAGTTAATGATCATTTTTTGGATTTTCCTCTTCTAAAAAGCTATGTGTCTTTTTCCTAGGGCACCTGCTCTGAGAACCAACCCATCCTTTTTATCTCCCTCTAGCTGGGCCAGGACAATTCCCTTCCATCCCCACCTCCCTTCTTTCAGTCACACTGTGTGGGTGCTAAAGACCCTGGGCTCTGACCAATGAACAGAACTGTCCTTTAAGCCAGCAACCCACAGGCAGTGGCACCCAAAGCCTCACCCCCCAGCCCCCATGGCAGAAGCCATAGAGCTGGCATTGTTTCTACTGTCTCAGGAAGAAGGAGCCAAAAGCTGACCCTCAGCACAAATCAAAGTCCAATGTGGAGAGAAAAAAAGGCTTCTAGGCCCAGAGTAGGCTGTAAGCTGTGGGTAAGAAAAGGGCATTTTTACAGCTATTCCATGTGAGAAACAAGGAAAAAACTGGACCCTTGCTGCTATTGTGGTTTTACAAGCCAGTCTACTGAGCTAAGTGGGATCTGCAAACACAGAAGGATCAAAACAGATCAGGGAACTTTGCTGGCTGGAAATAAGAGCGACAATCAGGGGTGAAGCAGTTTGTGACAATTAATTTGTAGGAAGATGATGCTGGGAACGTCAGCTCTTCACATGGCTGCCAGCCCTGCAGAGGACAACACAGAAAGAACCAAGACAGCCACCCCAGACTGGTAGAGCTGGGCAGTCTTCAGGCCTTTTCCCAGGTCCCACATCTGTAGAAAAAGGAAAAATAAATTCACTGATCAGGACCCTGATCACTTTCCTAGCTCCTGTCTTAGAATTTTTTACATGCATGATTCTAGAGAAAAGTACTCATACCCTTACTTCTTACCTTTTCCCTTCTCAAAAGTATCCACCACCCACTCTGCCAGGGATAGAAACTCTAGTCCTATTATGTGGTGGTGAGGAATTCTCTAGAATACCAAACTCTACACACAATAGCTTCCTGACTAAAAAGATACAACTTTTCCTCATGACAACATAGCTAGGTCAGTGTTTGCCCAAAGGGTGTTTCCCCCAAAACTTGGTTCTGTATAATGGTTTATGGCACCATGGGGGGAAAAGTTCTGTGCTCATATAAATTTATTTTTTTCCTTCCTCCCTTCCTTCTTTTCTTCCTTTTTTCCTTCCTTCCTTCTTTCCCTCTTTACTTCCTTTTTTTCTTCTTTTGTACTAGGAATTGTACTCAGGACCTTGCATGTGCCGGGCAGGCACTGTGCTGCGAAGCTATATAATGGCTCCCTCATATAAAATTTTCAAGCATTTAACTGCCATATTCTCAAATAATTTATGAATGCACATGGTTGATCTCTAAAAGGGTACATAATATTCATGATATGGTCACTCACAGAATTCCTTTTTAGAGAAAACACTTCTATAGAATACTATTTCTCAATTTTGTTTTGACAATGATCCCAATAAGAAGTATCTTTTAGACTAGAACCCCATAGAGATGTATACATATCATAGCAAAAATTCATGAAACAGCAAACGATTTTTACCATTACTAATGTGTGCTGCATTCATATTTTCTGTTTACATTTCTCCTTTTTGGTAGCAACCCACTAAATTAGTTTTCTATCCATTATGTCAAAACCCATTAACTAGACTCCCTTGTGCTCTAAGGATATTAACATATGATAGTGATTCCTCGGTTCATGAATGCTTTCATTTGTGAACAATCTGGTTTTTTTCTTTCTTTCTTTCTCTCTCTGTCTCTCTCTTTTTTAATTTGCTTTTCAAGCAGAAGTGTCTGACAAAATTTTGTTTTTGTTTGAAAACTCTACATCAGGTGACACACAACCACAGCCATCTTTCCTACATGAACACAAACGTGGCTAGCTTTTCCAAATTAAAGCATAAGAAAAAGCCTTCCAGTTCTATATTTTCCACACACAGCTGCCTTAACACACACATTTCCTACAAGTTATTCTGCATATCAAACTGACTAAGCTAGGAGTAACTTTAGAGAAAAGCTTGGTAGTAGGTGAGGGGAACAAGGTGAGACCATGTCCTTATCTCAATCCCTGAATCAGATCAGGAACCGGGCACATCCCACAGAGAGCTGACTTGCTTGTGGAGGCACACAGTGTTTTGCAATAAACTGACTCCCACTGAGTGGAGATGGTAGGAGGACAGTCTAGAGTGCTCCCACTCTTACATCAATACCACTTTCCAGCCCCCATTAGTTCTGCTGGTCAGGCAACTTCCAAGCTCAGAGGCCAAAACAGACTGTCCAGGAAACAGTTAAAAGTCTGACTAGAACCCAGAGCCAGTCTTTGTTAGAAGAAAAAAGGAAAGCAGATTTAAAGATTTAAGAAAAAGCCTTCCATTTCTTTATTTGTCTCAAGAAAGAGATTATCATCATAAACAGGAACAGGGGCAATAAAGCAGAGTGAGGCCTGGGACTTCATAAAACCTCATTCCTGCCCTCTCCCTGTACTGAACAAAAGCACACGTGGTGGCAAATCCATGCTTGAGCTAGGACGCGAATGGAAGAAGCTGGTCAGCTGACCTTCTTTGGAAAGCTTTGTTCTGTGGAATAAAGTCATTAATGGAAATGCCCTCCCTCTCCATTCTCTTCCCCTGAGGGAAGTGAGAAGTCCTTTTAAATCAAATCAAATATCACCTCAGGGAACAATTGATAAACACACTTAATTTAATAGGTCAGACACTCACTTCTTTTTATTTAATTAAGCTGTCTATTGGACCAGACTGAAATCCAGAAAGTGCTTGCCCCAAGGTGCTGATGCAGAAGTTACAAAGGATCAAATTAATGTAAAAACATCCATCTGACAGATGGCTCAGGATCGCAAGTAATGGAAAACTAGAAGGGCTAAAATTTTAATTGTCTTCTTGAGGTAGCATGTAAATCTAGGGATAAGGAGGCCACAAATTTATGGAATCCCTAAGTGCTGATTTGACAGACTGATCTGTGACACGGGACAGGTTTGACTAAGAGACACAGAGACATCAGTTTTGAGCTGATACCAAGATCACACAGGTGGCAATGTGGACAGCTTTCAGCCCATCAAAAGACTCCTAGACCCAAAATTAAAACCTGGGACCACTGGAATCTGGTTTCTGTGCAAGTTGGCCTATTCTCACTGATCACTCAAAAGGAACAGACAAGGTTAACAAAATCTATTATCAAGGTAACAAAAGTAATGTATTTGAGCCCAGAAAGCAGTAGATGTGTGTACTAAGCTTATAAGTGAGAGCCCCTCACCTGTGTCTAGAACAGTGCTTAACAGACAAAAGGTACCAATTCATATTTACATAATAAATATGTCTTCTATGCCAGACACTGACCTAGTTTGAGCAGTTGCTTTTAATAGCATCCCTCTTAAGACTGGGAAAGTTCTCAAAGAAACTAAATATCTGCTTGGCCTATGCCCATTAAGGAAAGTAAACAGAGTCTTGTTTAATTTTCCCCAAAATGACCTTGAGTAAAGATTCAGCACTATTAACCCTAGGAATAGCTCTAGGAATTAGTGTTATAGCAAGTGCCTAGCAACCCTGAGGCCTGGGATCAATCCTCACCTTGCGTTTAAAACAAAACAAAACAAAA